GAGATAGGATCTTGGGAACCAGCCGTCTTGGTAGAGCGGTATTGGGGGGGCGCCGAGCTGGCTACCCTCCCCCCCTGTGGTTTCCGGAGGCTTGATCGCCCTGCGTTGCCGCAGGGTCTTCCCGTTTGAGTACTTTTCAATTTAGACCCAGTGCTGTGGAAGGGCGCGGACTTGTGCGGTGTTACCCCCTCGACGGGGGCTATCTCCCCTGGACTAGCCCAGGGAGGGAGAGGCGGAGGAGGGTAGTAGTCTCAGGAGGCTGTTTGGCGTCTTGTGGTGTGAGCTCTTTGCGCTCTTTTTTGCGTGAGGATTTTTGAGCTTGGTGACCTCCCCAGCCCGGGAAGACTCGTCGGGCTCCCGGTCGCCCAAGTCCTGGTAGCGAGCTCTCTGAGATGCTCGGTTCGTTCGGTCGGCAGGAAGAGCCCCCCAGTTGCGACTTCGTTTATGTTAGGAGACCAACGGGCATAGATCCCGTCTAGTTGGAGCGCCAAACAAGCGCTGTTGCGTGCCGGCCGTCGTTTCCCGTGCGGCCTGACCCGGGGGAGGAGTGCATGAGACTAACCAGCCGTATGCACCCGCCCCCCGCGCTGTGCTTCGGCCCTGGGCCCCCGGCTTTTCAGCCCACAGTGTAATCAACGTCATACATACATACATACATACATACATACATACATACATACATACATACATACATACATACATACATACATACATACATACATACATACATACATACATACATACATACATACATACATACATACATACATACATACATACATACATACATACATACATACATACATACATACATACACACATACACACACCTGGAGCCGGCACGTCCACGCAGCCCGGTGTGGTAGTGGTCGTTGTGGCGATGGTTGTGGTTTCACACAATCCGCACGTCGCTAGGCACCAGCGGTTGAGCCGCATCCAGGGCTGAGCGCACTGCCCCCACTCCATCTGCTGGCTGCAGGTGTAAGTGCCTGAACGAGGGGGGGAGTGATAACCGTGTAATGGGACGTTTAAAAGCTTGATGGTGTCCACAAACCGAGTTCTTCTTCAACACGCGGGTGCGCTACTCGCCTGGCGGCACTTGTACGTCGGAGCAGTTGGGTGCCGGGGGGAGCGGGGATTGGGGGG